TATAACGCATGCGATGCAATAGGATCGTTGGCTGACCGGTTGGTTGGCTGGTGAACGGTCGTTCGGTAGGTAGGTAGATTGGTGGGCTGGTTGATTGGGCGGCTGCCACGTGGCAACGCCACTCTTCTCGTTGCGTGGCAGCGCCGCGGGGGCCGGAACAAATACTATTCCACTCTATTCGGCACGTGGCACCGCCTTGCGGGGACCGACAACATATTATTTCACGAATTGTCTCGTGAGAGCGCCGCGGGGGCCAACAACAAATACTAAGGCACTCCTCGCGCCACTTGCCGAAGCCTGGGGGCGCGAGGAAACAGTATTCCATCCAGTCGACTCGTCACGTGGCAGCGCCACGGGGGCCCATTCGTCACGCGGCAACGTTTCGGGGGCCGGCAAAACATACTATGCCACTCCACTCGTTACGTGGCAACGCCTGTAGGCGCGAAGAAAAATATAACCGTCACGTGGCAGCGCCGCGTGGACAAAACAAAAACCAATTGTGCCACGACGGCGACGCGGACCACGACGAAAACGACGATGACGACGACGATGACCAGGACCAGGGCGGCGAACAACAATTCGATCCTATTCTCCTCGTCCTTCTTCCTCCCCCCTCCCTTTTCCCTCCTCCAAACTCCCTCCTCCTCCCCCCCCCTTCTCCCTCCTCCCTTCCTCCCCTTCCTGACCTCTTCTCTCCTGCCTTCGTCCCTTTTCCCGAATGATTTCATACATGCGCTCGGCGACGTCGGCAACGATCGATTACTGGGATGGAAAGATAGACAGACAGTGAGACCAACAGATAAGTGTTAGGTGGTGGTTGTCCCGATCGCTGTTCCGATGGTTGCCCTGCTGATGGTCCGAGGGGTTTTCCCGATTGTTGTTTTCCCGATGGTTGTCCCGTCGGATGAAGAAGGGGTAGGGGGATTGGGTTTGACCCCCCCCCCTTCCACCAGCCCTTCTTACTTGAATCCACAGGTGGGGGGGTGGGTTTGACTTCACCTCCCCCTCCAATTTCCGGAAGGGGGGTGGGTGGGTTTGACCCCCCTCCTTAGCCCTTCTTTCTCCCAGCTGCGTCAGAAGACGCTCTGTCGAATGTATGAATGAGGTATGCGAAATATCTGCCTCGAAGATCCCACGTGGAATGCGTCGAGCTCCTTTTTTTCCCCGCCTGGTTCAGGAAGGCCGCGGGCAGACAATATTGCAGCTTATTAAGAATAGAAGCGCTGAAGATCTCAAGCGCCCTTGACTGCGTCGACGTGAAATGACCCCACACTCGCCTCAAGATGCCGAATTCCACCCGGGCGGCGCCGAGTCGGCGGGAGAGTTCTGGGCAAATCATCCCATCGCTTGAAATCAGGCTGCCCAAATATTGATTGCTCTCGTTTTGCGGCGCCCAGCAACCGTCTGGCCTTTGAGCGTGCGCATCGCATCCAACGTGTAGAACTTCCAGCTTACGCCAAGTGACCTGCCGCCCGTATTGCGATCGTGTGCGCCGAGATTGTATTGGGCCCGCCAGACGCGAGCAGTGCGTCGTCAACGTAAAGAATGCACCGCTTGGGAGAGGTCGAGCAGCGGCCCAGCTTCCTTCACGTCCCGTAGCAACGCAGCCATCACGATCGCGAAAAGGAAGGGCGACATTGGGCACCCTGGCCGATGCCGAAGTCACGCGCCGCCGGCGCCGATGTCGAGCTGGCATCCCGGACGCAGAACCTGCGCTCCCAGTAGATCGCCCGCACCACCTCCGCGAAATTCGTCGGCGCGCCAAAGCTGACTAGAGCTGGCGTTAGAGACTCCAGGGAGACGCCGCCGTAGGCTTTCGCCCCACCGAGTGCCAGCGGGACAATCTGCCCATCCCTTTCGGCCCAGATTCTTTCAAGAATTCGCTGGGCCAGAAAATTGGCGCCCGCTGTTTCACGCTTGGATTCGGAACCGAAGTGGGTGCGCCAGATCCGGCTCTCGGCCCCGCCCGCTTTCCAACGGCCCAATACAACTGTAGCGAAGATTATATAGCCAGCGGCCGTCAAGGAGATGGGCTGGTAGTTTTCGCGCTGGGCCACGTTTCCCCTCTCGAATGTCGTCGCGACCAGCGCCTCGCGACACTCTGCTGGAACTGCCGGGTCAATCCAGCACTCGTTGCACAGCTCGACGGCCCGCCTGCAAGCAAGCGCCCAGCTCGGCAGACTGTCTTCCAACACTCAAGCGGGGCATCGTCTTTGCCAGGCGCTTTGCCCCGATTCATCCGAGCAGCCGCGCCCGCGACTTCGCCTTCGGTGATGGGGCCACGTGGCACAGCCAGTTTCTCGCCAGGGAGGCCCCGTTCGGCGCCGCGCTCGCCGGCCGCAGTGCCCGCTGGACTCTGCTACGGTACTCTGCCATTGTCTGCGCGTTGGTCGGAATCAACAAAAACTACTTTCCTTCTCGGCTAACCGGCCCTGCCGGGCTTGCCCTCCTTGTCTCAAGGCGTGGATCGGCGCCCAGTCTCCAAAGGCAGCTGGCCCTCTAACCAATCCGAACGGTCTGCCTTGACAGAATCCCTCAAAGCTCGGTGCAAGCGCCGCGCCTCCTGCGTCGTTCCTTGTGCCTTCGCTGAGTCTATCTGGTCTATTAGCTGGAGCGTCCTGCCAAATATACACGGTCGCCGCGGTCTCCTCGCGATGTTCGGAAGAGCGTCCCGGGCAACCCAACGATAAACACCTGCCACGCTCGACGCGAGCTACGCTTGCGCGCCCGTGCTCGCGCCGGCTCCAGATCATGCGAGTGCGGAAAGCATCGGAGTCCGCGCTGGCCACTATTTCGCTCCGAAGCTCGCGAAGCTGTAGTCGAGGCTCAAACGGGCCGTTGCCTTCGCGAGGGACGTCCATGTCCAGGGATGCAATCACGAGACAGTTATGCGACGCGATCGCCCTGTATTTGGTGCTTTGCGCACTCTTCAAGCACCGAGCACCGAAACCACTAAATGGACACGATTGCCAAATCCAGATGCCCGTAGTTCTATATATACCGGGGGGTCCGCCGGCGAGCGTCCGACATCATAGCCGGTAATCTGGCACTCTGGGGGCTCGTCGAAAGCTGTGTTGCCGACAACGAACATGCGAGGTGTGCAAAGTTCGAGCAGGAATGTCCTGTTCAATTCTCGGTTGTGCTGCGCGCGCGCATTCCCGAACATGAGCGGCCCCAACACGTTTCCTGTCCGGGGAAGTGCCAGTGCATCCTGGCATTGGAATCGTAAAGTGACCGCGCTGGTCCGCGAGCGGATTCACAGCCGAGGAAACGGCGAACTCGGAGAAAAAAACCTGCCGGTCGACGAGTGTTTCCCCGCTGTGCGGGGCGCAGGCGCTGCAGGTAACCATTCTCCCCCCGCGGACCCGCAGTTTGAGGGGCGCCTCTCTCGAAGTGGCTTGTCTGAAACCAGTGACGCTGCGACGCGCCAGCGGAGAGATCAGGAATCCAATTCTTGCAATTGCCTCCGTCGGTGATATCATCATCAGCTTTACCCTTGCGCGTTTCCTGGATGCGAAGAGTGACGGTGCCCTCCTCCTGCATGTGTTGCTTTTGCTCGACCATGTCAACTACAGATGCCCTGGGTGAAACCGTGGGTGAAGCTGTACTCATGTGCTGTGTTTCCGGGTGCCCTTTGGCACCGCCCTTCTGCCCCTTCGAGCCCTGCATGCCCAAGCCAATCCGCGAAAGCATGTCCGTGTTCTTCTGGAGAAGGTCCTGCACAGCCTGGTTGTTACGCAGCTCTTCCCACGTCCCCCAATCGTCGTGCCATTCCTATCGCACGGCGTTGTCGTCAACGTGGGCCGTCACCGCCTTCTCGCCCCCCACTGTGAGCAGGCACGGAGCCTCGTCGGAGCCCCCCCTCCTCATTCTCCACGAATCCCCCTCCCCATCATTCCCCTCCACCGCTGGGGTCACCACCTGGGCGGCGATGGTCGACGGGCCCAGTCGGCGACGCCGACACCGAGAACGGAGCGAACGAGCCAGGCCGCAGCGGTGACCCTGCACAACACGGCTCATACGCAAGCCGAGGAAGCGGCGCACTGGCTGTACGCTGACGAGGGGGCGCCTTCGTACGACTCCTCTCGGGCAACTTGCGCTCAAAGGTTCGCGCAGGTACGGCTACAGACGGCGGGCGCCCTTCGCTCCGTCTCGCCAGCCAGTGACCCACTTCTGTCCAGATCCAGGAGGAGGGGACAGGAGGTGGTCTCAGTGGTGGACGGGGGGAGGAGGGGGAGGGAGGTTCGGAGAGAATGAGGAGGGGGATGAGGAGCAGGGACTTGAAGAAGAAACAAAGAAGCACATCAGAACTTTCGGACTTCTGCGCGGATTTCTTGGATTGGCGCCTGGGCCCCCTGGCGGAGCCTTCAGCGTCGCCTCTGGGAACGAGGAGGGGGAGGAAGAGCAAAGAAAGAACTCGCCTCCATCCTTCCCGAAGTGCTGACTTTGTCAACGCGCGGTCTCCGGAAGTCCCGACCCCTTTCCCCAAAGCAATCTCGTCCTCGGCATTTTTTCGGCGGCCCGGGGGCCCGGCGATGGCCCCTGGACGCGAAAATCTCCGAACACCGTCCGTCGTGTTTTTTTCATTGTGCCAGCATGTCGGCTGGGTCCATCCTTGGATGCGGCCGAGCGGTCTGTATTGGTTGGGCCCCCAGAAAGTCTGTCACGAGGGGTGGATGGAGCCAGGTCCGCTCAGAACCGGTCCCCAAACCCCTCCAAAGGTCCATCTGGTGCATTTTTGTTTGCTGTAAATGGTCCCGGGGACCGAAGCGGGCCACGGAGGCCGAAATAGGCAATCAGCCTTTCCGAACCCACAACCTCGAACCTGCCCGCCTTTCTTGCTGGCAGGAGCGAGTGCTGGACCAACTCGGACCCTCAGACGGCACCAAGTTGAAAGCCTCCCGTCATGTTTTTCTACGATGCGAGCATGCATGGGTCCGCTATTCAACTCTGGCCCTCCCCGTGGCGAGAGGAACATCATGGCGCGGCGGCCGCATCGCCAGCTCGATGTCCAGGTCGAAGGCGCGGTCGTCGGAGAGGCCACGTCTTCGCGCACGAGGGGCGCGGGGGAGAGGGGGAGGAGGGGGAGGACAGAGAATGAGGGGGAGGAGGGATGAGGAGGATGAGGCGGAGGAATGAGAAGGATCGGAAGGAAGGATAACTAGGAGGAGAAGGAGGGAGAAGGAGAGGGGGGAAGGCAAGCTAGGTGCGCTCGCGTCATATCTGACATCCTACCCCTCCCTCCCATCCCTTACCATGGCGTGGATCCCCTCTCTACTCGCACAGTCGGATGTCGAGCAGGGCAACGATCCCGAAAGGGTACGCGATGCATCGTAGAGCACGGCATGGCATGACGTAGCAGAGCACCGCAAAGCGTAGTATCAACCTAGCATTGCATTGCATGCCGTGGCATGGCACGGGAAATGATGCCAGCACTGCAGCGGGAGCACGAGTCGGAACGAGCGGAAGCGCGGAAATGAGGCCAGCACTGCAGCGGGAGCACGATTCGGAACGAGCGGAAGCACGGAAATGAGGCCAACGCTGCAGCGGGAGCACGATTCGGAACGAGCGGGGCCCGAAAATGAGGCCGGCGCCTCAGCGAGAGCAGCATTTTGGAAACAAATGCAGGCGAACACCCAACTCCGGGGAATCCTGTGTAAAAAAACCATGCGCGGGGGGGGGCTGACACTTTCAAGCCGTCATCAGGTAAAGAGGGAGAGTAGTATTCATATTGAGTAATTGTGAAGGAGGAGGAAGACGAGGAGAAGGAGGCGGAGGGGATGAGGGGGCGGAGGGAGAAGGAGGAGAGAGAGGAGGGAGAAGGGGGGAGAGGAGGGAAGAGGAGGAAGGTGTAGTAGGAGGAGGACGAGGAGGAGGAGGACCAGGAGAAGTGGGAGGAGGAAGAAGGGAGGAGGAGGAGGAGGAGGAAGGGGGGGGAGGGGAAGTGGGGGTGGGGGGGGGGGGCGGCCAGGAGCTGTTCGGGACGCGCCGTGGCGGGCAGCGTGCGCCCGCGCTGGGGGTCTGCTCGCCATCCGCCGAGTGTACAATGTATACTGCACTCAGCGGAGGCAGATGTCAGTGCCATCTGCTCCAAACAACAAGGCACGTCTCAAGGGTGCCTTGATCAATCTGATCGGGCAATGCAAGGCCACACCTCGTGAGGAGCTGGGCAATGTCCCACTTCTCTTCCCGCAGGTCAACCGTCATCCACCAATCTGGAGACATGTCAAAAGATGCCCGCAAGCCCCCCCCCCCCGTCCCGCTCAAGATCGGTGCAACGAGAAAGCACGACGTCGGCATGAAAAGCCCGCCCTTAGGAGGAATGGGTCGAGGCCTCTGGAGGTCCACGTTGTGAATCAATCACGACGTCGGGGGTCTTGGGTGATGCCTTCCGATGCCACTCGACTCGCGCTGGGTCGTCCACGATTTGCTCCAGATTTTCCTGGAGACCGTTGGATTTACCCAGATGAATCTGGATCTATATAGACTTCTCTGGATGTACACAGATGTGTCTGGATTTGCCTCGATTTGTCTGGCTTGACCCCCGCAGATCGATTGGCTGAAAATCGTCAAACCTCTTAGGGCCAGACTTCTGGCGATACAACTTTCTGAATCGCAGGCCGCCGGAACTCTCGACCCCCTTGCCCTGGCTGGTTCTTCATCCTGGGCAGCTTCCTTGCGGTCCTGGTGCCAGGAGCCGCCCCCACGACGGCGAATCTTGCGGAAGTCGTTTTCCTCCTCCCTCGTCTTCCAGCACTGCCAGCAGAGGGAGGCTGGCGCACCCCAGCACTGGCACGTTGGAGGAGCTGCACGACAGAGTGCGGGTGCCGCTGGCGTCTCCGCTGACCTTGCCATGGGCGATGGAGTTGACGTAGTTGTCCTCAGCTGCTGCTGCTCATCCTCCTGCTCCTCCCATCCATCCGTCCCCGTCCGCCCCACCCATCCCCCTCCTCCCATCCTGTGTCTTCATGCTTCCCCTCCTCCTCGTCCTTCCTCCTTGCACCCTCCTTCCCCCCCCCCCCTGAACCATCTCGCTCGGGGTGGGCGGGAGGTGCGCGTCTGGCCGGCCCCCCCGAGTTGGACCGTCAAACTTCGAGATGGCATTGACGTCCCGAGCCGCAGCGAGGCCATGCTGACACCGTCCCACGGGTGGTAGCTGGAGCCGAGGGCGACTGGATGCGCGAGGGGCCCCAGCTGTGCGGTCCTGAGCGCGGATGCAGGCGCCCCAGTGAGAGAGAGAACCTGCAGCTGCTGATGTGCGGAAGGTGTCAGCCAGCGATGTCGCGCCGACGAGGTTGCAAGTGCCAGCGGTGGTGAGAGGCCAACGCCGATGCCCCCACCGGCGGAAGGATAAGAGGACCCTTGAGGTCCAAGGCTGTGCAGGTGAAGAGCTCGACTACAGGGTCGACGGCGGCATGCACGTGAAGAGCTGGCGTTATTGGCTAGCCTGGCCCAGGCCCCGCGGGGCAAGTAAGGCAGTAACGCACATGCCGCTGTCCT